TCAAAATCGGCCGAGTCTTCCCTTTCTGGAAACTCTTTTCCCACATCACTGCGCGTACCGTTGTGCACAGACTTATGAACGCGGACAGACATGGGTGCATAGATAGGTTAACTCTTTGTTAGGAGACGAAGTAGTAACACAAAGCTCAGGGTGGGTCATGAGATGTGGGCGTATCCAGTTAAGTGCTCGAGCTTGGGCGTATGTCTGTTGACCGGGGTAGGCGTTTCAAGCCAACGATTCACGTAAGCCCGGTTTTATGCGGTCAGCGAATTGAGTGAGGCTTGTGGACGAGGCAGCATCAAGACTTGCCCTGAATTTTGGACAGGCAGAAGAGGCAGATGTATCAACGGACATCTTTTAATGGTTGGTATTGGCCTTATTCTTATAGGCCAGAAAAATACCGGTACCAAGGGATGTCGATACCAAAGAAAATCTGTACTTAATATAACGGTAGCGAGGAATGTCGATACTGAGGAAAATCGGTACTGAAGAAACTAGTACGAAGGAAGATCGGGAAAGAGGAATACTAGTACCGGGAAATATCAGTTCCAAAGAATACCCGTATGGAGGAATGGTGATACAGAGGAAAATTGATACAGAATAATACCTGTACCGAGGAAATCCAAAACTAAGAAAAAAGATACCGGTACCAAGGGAAATCGGGGAAGAGGAACACAGGTAAGGAAGAATATCAGTACCGAAGAATTCCGGTAGTGATTAAAACCGAATCCGAAGAAAATCGCTACCAAGGAAGAAACATTGATAAAGAAGAATACGGGTACAGAGGGATATGAATACCGAAGAAAACCCGTACCGAGGAATGCCGATTTTGAGAAAACCCGTTACTGAAGTATAGCGGTACCAACGAACATAGGAAAAGAAGAAAATCGCTACCAAAGAATACCTGTACCAAGGAACATTGATAAAGAAGAATACGGGTACAGAGAGATATGATTACCGAAGAAAACCCGTATCGAGGAATGCCGATTTTGAGAAAAACCGTTACTGAAGTATAGCGGTACCAACGAACATAGGAAAAGAAGAAAATCAGTACCAAAGAATACCCGTACCGAGGAATTCCGAGATAATAGGTTCAAAAGAATAGCTGCTACGAAGGATGCTAATATCGATCAAAATCAGGGCGGAAGTATAGTGGTAACTGTGACCATCGGGAAATGAGAAAAACCGGTGCAGAGGAGAATCGGTACGGAGGAATACCGGTAGCAATGAACATCTGGAAAGATGAATATCATTACCTAGGAATATCAGTACACAAGCTTACCAATATTGATTAATGCATTTACCGGGAAAAATAGTTAACGATGATTAGTAGTGCCAAGGAACATCGGGAAAGAAGAATTCCTCTAGCGATGATTATCAGTACCGAAGAATAACCGTACCGTGGAATACAGATACCTGGAAAAATCCGTGTCGAAGAATATTGGTATCGAGGAATGGCGATAGCGAGTAAACTCGATACTGAAGTATTCCGGCACCAAAGAGCATCGGAAAAGAGGAATGCCGATACCAAGAAAAATCAATACCAAGGCGAGTAGGGAAAGAGGAATACCGATAGCGAAGAATATCTGTACTGAGGAATGCGGACTAACAGGAAAATCTCTACCAAGGAATACCGATCCCAAGGGACATTGAGAAAGGGGTATACCGAAGAGTACCCATACCGAGGAACGCCGATACCGAGGAAAACCGGTTCCCAAGAATAACGGTACCAAATGACATTGAGGAGGAGGGATACCGGTACCGAAGAATATCACTATCGAGGAATGTTGATCCCGAGGACAATCGTTTCCTATGGATATCGGCATCAATGAATATCCATAAATAGGAATATTTGCTCCGAGAAATTTCAAGCCTAATCCTATCGGTATTGAGGAAAATCCATAAGAAGGAATACTGTTGTTGAAGAACCTTTGGCAACTAGGACTGGTCTCAACGACTTATCGATACTGAGGAATACCAGTGTGGATGAATGTGAATATTGAGGAACAACGGTACCTAATAATATTGATATCGGCAAATTCTATTTCCAAATATATTCATTCCGACAGTTACCGGTACTGAGGCATATCATTGTTGAGGTATTCAAGTACCGACAAATATCGGTAACGGGGACTATCGATGCTGTGGATTATCGGTACCGAGTAGTTCAGGTACAGTGGATTATCGTTACCAAGGGATTATTTTAGTGAGTAATTTCGGAAACGAATACTTCTGGTCCGATGTTTTCAAATACAAGGATTTATGGTACCGAGCAATATGTTTATCGAAAGTATACCGCTACTGAGTGATATCGCTTCCGAGGAATACTGGTATCAATGAATTGATTTACTGTAGACTATCTGTATAGATGAATGCAGGTACCGACAGAGAGCAGTAATGAGGAATTCCGGTACCAAGGAAGATTGTTCACCCTTAATACCGATACCAAGAAATACCGGCAACGATGCATACCGGTTTCGGGTAATATCGGTATCGAAGAGTTGGCATACCGAGGAAGTTCATTACTGATTAATACCATTTCCGAGGATATCAATACTGAGGAATATTTGTACCAATTCACATCGGTGCTAAAGAATTCCTGTACCCAGGAGTATCGGTATTGAAGAATGTCTGCACCAAACAATTCCGTTACCGAGTAATATCGTTACCACTGAATTCGATATTGAGTTATTTCGGTTATATTACATACACTGAGGGATAGCGGTAGTGAAGAAGATCGCTAGTGATGATACCGAACGGCATTAACTACCACCTACTACGGTCGGTGTTGGCTTTGTTTGTGCTTTTTTGTCCGCAGAATACTTGCATCTTCGTTTGGTCTGACCGTCTGCTGAACCTGACCAAATTAATTTAAACGTGTTTGATTGGAAATGTATCATAATGTTACCTGATCCTTAGATGATACCAAAATATTTGCAACTGTTTTAAACCGTCAGGTGACATGCTTGATAGCACATATTGCTTATTTGGTAATCACTATTGTCTAGTTTAATCGCAGATATGAAGACCATAATGGTATGATTTCCTTTCGCTGACTAAAAGTATTCTGATCCCGATTTTGCAACTGTGTAATGTTGTCAGGACCAAGGCTTCTTGTCCTCTGTTCGAGTAGTCGGGATTCTTTCCAACGTCAGACTTATTACATTCCCAGACGTTTCGCCAGCACGGTAGTCGGCATCATCAGTGCCCTTTACCAGTCTTGGCACCAAACCACATAACTTATCAAAGAGAAAATTGAAGTCCATCCCTTGACCAGCTTTCTGCTAAACAAATGGGATCACTTGTGTCTCTGGCACGTTGTAATTTGGTGCTAAGAATGACAAGGTTCATTGGCGATGCGTTAGAACATATTTAAATATACCATCTACATGGTTCGACGCGGAATAGTGTCATTACTATTCAGACCGAGGAGTCTAGACAAGGTGAGTTTATATAGATCGTCTTGACAACACGACCAATTGCGCACACGAGGTAGCACTTTTAAACACTTTTAAGCAAAGATTTATTTTAACAGGAAGTGGGTCTCGAGTGAGAGCTTTAGTCAACCGCATAAGATGACGAAATTCTGATAGTAGAATTTCTCCAAGATGCCATCAGATCCTCATGTTCCTACAGAATTTCCCTTATCTTTGCCTTGCTAAGACTACGATTGAGAAACGAGGCGGAAACCTGAGTCCTACATAGCTCATTTTGGGAAAACTTAATTATCGATCCTTTATCACTATATTTAGCTTAGAGACACTTGAACTATTAAAGAAGCAAACAAACATTTAGCGTTGGTCTGACTTCGTTATCGCTACTTATTCGGATAGCCGAGGATACCTTGTGGAACGTGCCTTGTCTAGTGTCCTCTACTAACGTATCCATTTTTATTTCCAGTATTGGATCAGAAATTTGGTACATTCCCAAACTTTTCGCCAGCATCGTCAGACAGCTGGCGATGCACCAAACTACAACTCATCTAAAAGACCATTAAGGCCCTTCCCTTGACTTACTTTTGGCTAAACGATTTTGGCATCACTACTCTTCCAGTCATGCTACATCTATTCATCCAATAACTTCGTATCCCTCTCCATTTTGCTCACAACTTCTATCATGTTTGTGCTAGCCTCTTCGAGAGATGCGCCATGTTGAGCTGGTCTGATAAGTCCTTGTCACACCTCCCGTCGATTTATTTTTCCCGCCCCCTTAATATGCGGAAGGACACTTCTCATTTTCTAAGAGAAATTAGGTAAAAAGGATTTGTGAATTGGCCCCATCAGTAACCGAGTGGGTATTTAAATTCAGTAAAGGGTGACGGTTTGGCCGAATAGGACGTCGATTTTTATTCATATATTCAGGAAAGCTTGATAAATGATACAGTCATCCTAAATCGCGTAAAGTAATGAAGTACTGATAGCCTTGCCTCGCAAAAGGTATTCACATCCAGACTGGGCTAGACTGCATTTTAAACCTCACCCAGTTTCAAAAACTACTCTATAAGAGTATAAGTAGGCTAGTATATTTTAATGGCAAAACACAAGTTTTAGTTTTTATAAGTAGGGATTCAAGACTACCAGTAAATCAGTTATATGAGATGTATACAACCTATTTCGTTTAAGGTAATGAAGGACTGGCAATTGAATTTTACCACATGATTATATATTTCATATAACTCATTTATTGGTAGTCTCTAAACTCTACTTGCAAAAATGAAAAATAAGTAATGTAGTCGATTGCCATAGCAAATATAACTTTGCTTCATCAACAATCCCATCAAATAACGTGATACAGGAAACTACCTGGCTTTTGTTGAAATTCATATCTGTCCTGTGACCTAAGGACACTCGTGGCAATGTGGCGTTGTTGTTAACGTGTCGAGATTACACGCTTCACTGCCATGGTTCGACTCCCGCTGGGAGTGTTGATAAGACCTAGGCGAGATCGAAATTGCAGTCCACTTCAGTCGGGATGAGAACACCTTTTGTGAAAGCAAGATTATGTAGGAAAATTCAACTACCCGTCCCTCATCACCTTAAACAAAAATGGGTGAATACATCTCATAAGACACAAGTTTGCCTTGTTAAACTTCTCAGTATAAATGTGAATTGGGAGAGAAGTTCACGCCTGCCCTGTGACCCAGGAGCACTCGTAGCAGTGTAGCGTGATGGTAACATGTTGGCATCATTGCTTGGGTTCGATTCCCGTTGGGGTTGCTAATACAACCCAGATGAGTTCGAAAATTCAGTCAACTTTGGATGAGAGTAACTTTTGGAAAACAAGGCCAAGTGGAACTTAACGGAAACAGGAGACCTGCCAATATCATACTGGGAAAAATTCAACTACTAGCCCTTCATTACCCTATGCGACCAGGCCAACTGTAAATCTTATTTAAGACCTGTCTCATTGTTATTCTGACCTGATTCATCTTTACGGTACTTTTGCATGCCTATCGGTCACATACATCACCAAGGCCTCAGACATTAAAATAAGTCAAAATAAATTAAGCATATAAGAGGTGATTGACTGCATTCAGAATCACTTCTTTAACCCAAGTTCGCCATGTTATTGAGGCATATTATGATTTGGCTGGCTACTACTTAGCCCAACTTTTCATATGAATTTGGCTTTTTCATTAAACTTCAGTAAAAGTTAAATACGTCGTATGATGGATTCAGTCTTTGGTCGTTAAGACTGACATCATGCTTGCCTCTAAGCGGTGCTTTTTTTAGGAGCTAGGGTCACGTTTCCTATATCACCTCAGAATTACTTCGCTAGCCAATAAATCAAAGTTTAATAAGTATGCTAAACTTTAATCAATTTTTCTTAAGGTTATTTACACCAGGATAGCAAATTTCTTATTGACACTATTGTAAGCTAATTATTAAGCTGAATGATTGATATTTAGTGAGTTTTTAGGAAAAAACAGCGTAAAATTTCATGTGTCATCGAACTTAAGAGTCCCATTCACTATCCTTATTGTTGGGTAAGTCATCTTTAAAATTTAACAACACTTTAGTCATAACATAAATGCCCACATTATTCGATCGATATAATTTTGTAGGCTATGTATGAGTTATTTGATCATATCCTCAAAACGATGGCGAAATTGCTTATGCTTTATTTATTGATCATTTGAATACATTACTTATTATTTTACCAATTAGGTATAGCACGCCAAGCGATTTGTTTGCATTCTCATACTTTAGTTATTGGTGATCATATTTTGGCATTAATTAAATAATCTATTTTTTCATTTTGTCAGCTATTTAAGTTAATCTGCAATTCACTACATGCTTATTCAATCAATTAACTTTAGATTAAACTGCAAACGAATCCTAATGATGGCTAAATTCTTAACTCAAATCGCTAATGGTCTGTTCGAAATTTTGTGTATGATATTCTCCTTACTTTAACTAGTTTATTAATTATTAACATTAATGAATCGATAATAGTACACTTTAAGTGCAGAACTTTATCACTTGGAGATTAAATGTGTTTATTATAGCTCTAAAAACTTATTTAGTAACCAGTAAATTAGTTTCCCATCCCTAATCTCTTGAGTAGTCGTTTCATGGCGGAGACATTTACTCTGAAGCAATAAAATGAGTAAAATAGTATATTAATATTATTGGTTATTCGAAGGCATGAAGATCATGATGGCGTGGCCCTTTGTATGGTTGCGGCCTCCTTTCGTTGTATAGAATTTGTCTGACCTTGTTTTCGCAATTTGGTCATTTTGGCATGAAGACCTATAGGAACTCACCTTCTCCAGAGTCCATATCATGCATGATAAGGTCAAACAATTAATAGTATTATTCATTAT